ATTATAATTTTTTTTTTAATATTTATTATTATTTTTTTATTTAGTTTTTATGGTTTGTTAATGGAAGTTTTACGAGTTCTAAATATTCTAAAATATTTAGAGAGTATTTACTTAATTTATTCATTAACTTTTGAGCATGGAATATTGCAAATATTTCTGTTTACCACATTTTTAATAATTAATAATTCTTAATACTTGAAGAAAATTGAAAATTCATCAATAAAATTAATCTTTTTTTGTTATAGTCTTTAAATTACTTTTTACTTATTAAATTGTTAATTTCAAATCACTATTCATTAAATAAAATTTACTTAAATTTCCTTCAAAGTTTCTTCACTTCTTCGAGTGCATCGAATTTTCTCTGAGTGTATCTGGCACATGCACTGATTTCATTTGGTTTCAATTTCGAGCGGGGCGTGTGCTGTTTTGGGACTGTGATTCCGCTGCAGTTGTGCAGCAGCTGCAGGTCGAGTTAATGACTAGATGAGATGAGATGAGATGAGAGTTCTCCTACCTTTCTCCAGTGGCGCCTTCTTGTATTTCTCCAAGCGCTTGACGGCTATCGATTCGAGACGAACGCGAGCCGCCGGATATTCCTTGAGCACGTCCCACATGTCCTTTTTGCTGAGCACGAACAGATCGCTGTAGCCCACTGAGCGGACGCTGGCGGTGCGTCTGTTGCCTGTTGCAGGGCAGCAGCAAAGTGCCGCAATGTGGCAAGTTGCATTAAGTTGGCAAATGTGGCAAAGTTGCACGTTTGCGCGCGACAAAACAATCGAAGAGAATGCAGCAGGTGGCGAGGGGGGGTGGGGGGACATAAAAAGTTTAATATCAATAACTTGCCAAAGGTATTTTATGTTTATTATTGTGCTTGTTGTTGCTGTTGTTCTCTGTTGTTCTTATTGTTGAGTGCACACACAAACAAAGACACACACACACACACACACACACACATATGCACACATTAAAATTGCATGCCAACCAGAAAGGTATGCAGGCAATTGGTTGCAAGCTGCACAGTTGAATTGGATTCAGATAGAAAGACAGTTTGTTGCAATTGGAAATTGGAAGTTGGGCAATTGGGTTGACAGTTGCACATAGAGAGGGCATTTATTGGATGCACAAGTGCTACACGCTCACACACATACAGCAGCTACATATAGATAAGTTATGTATGTGTCTGTGTTGCCTGTCTGTCTGTCGTTTCGTTTCGTTTGTCGCTCGTGTTGGGGCCACCATTTGCTACAATCAAGCAGCAGGCAGCAGGCAGCTAGCAGCTAGCAGCCATAACAGCAACAGTTTACTCAGCTCAACAGCTAAATTTGTGCTTTGCATTTTTTATGGCATACAATTTGAAGCTGCGACCTGCTCAGTTCCTGAGTTGCTCTTTCAGCAAGAATTTCAATCTGAATACGTAACTATTTGCGCAGAATATTTACATTTCCGCTTTTACTTGTTATACTCTTTAGACTCTTTAGAGTTCAAGTTAATATCTGCATTAAATTATTGTCAAGTTCCATTAGGTAAAGTGCTAGAACAGTCACTTTTCACTTAACTAGCTGTTAAATATTTGCACCGCAGAGCGTTGCCACCTAGTTGTAATTCATTAATATTGAGCATGTGGCTATGCCGAAAAGCTGAATATCAAGTTGACTTCAAAAATTATGTTTAGTGTTGCAGCTGGTAAATATCTACTATGGCGTTGCCACCTTGTTAAAAGTAATCTGTAGCTAAGTGTGAACATTAGAACAGTAGTTTATATGAGAATTATAATAGCATCATAGTTACAAACTAAAAATTTTGGAAATATAGCGTGGCCAACTTATTTTAGGCACATATGGCAACACCGATAAGCATCATCTAGATAAGCATCAACACTAACCATACTGGCATCATCTTTATACATCGACTTTAAACATATTCCAACTATACGCATTATAATATAAAAGACAGTGTTGCCACCTAGTTTTGTCTTAAAAGTAAAAATTAGCGCCGGCTGAATTGAGTGTAACAGCTAGTCTACATAAAAGTTTATGTTCAGGAACTTGTCAGATATCATTGTAAATAATAAGTAACAGTGTTGCCACCTTGTCTGACATACTTTATAGCTAAGCATAACCTTGATATTAATAACTTCTATTTATTTTTGACAGCATCTACCTTAGAAGCTTATAATTTTGACACGAAAGAATTATATGGTGTTTGGGCGTTGCCACACTGCTGATATTTACAACTTTGGTAAACTTTATCAAAATCCCGTAATTTGAAGTTGCCTCTAAAATCGTTCTGCCAAACTGCTACGTAAACTATATGCAGAATGCATAAATTTGGAATACCTTAAAGCTGTAGTGAAGTTGTAGCAAATGTTGTTAACTGTTTAGTGTAATTGAATAGAAAAAGTTGGCGTGCAATTTGAAAAATATTTGAGTATAAATGTGTGTGTGTGTATTGGTGTCCGCGTGTGTATGTGTGTGTTTTGGTATTTGTGTGTGGTGCATGTTTAATTGTGGCAACAACAGGGCATATACTTAATTTAAAACACAATTCAAAACGTTTAAATTACGGCCAGGCAAAGCAATACAACAACGACTCACACAGTTACAGTTAAGAGAGGCATGGAGACAGTGGTTGGGCTGAGTAGAAAAATAAATTTAATAGACAATATTCGATCACAACTACGAGACATAGAGACTGTGAGAGTGAGTGAGAGAGAGAGAGAGAGAGAGAGATAGGAAGGACTAATTGGATTGTGTAGAGAGTGTGTGTGTGTGAGGGGAGGGTGGGGTTTGATGAAAGCGCTCAAGTCATGCAGGTAAACTAAACGATTCGATTCAAGTTTCGCAACGGCAGCAACAGCAGGTGACAACAGCTTGACAGCAATTTGGCCAATTGTCTGTCAAGCAGGAGTCGACAACTAATTGAGCTAGACGAACCAAAAAGTTTTACTTAACTTTTGTCAGCCTTTTATCAAATAGAATTAAGTTGCTCAGTTGCTGCTGCTGCTGCTGCAAATCGAATTAGGCAGCTGCAAGTCAAGTATGCAATGCCTGCCACACACACACACATAGACATAGAGGGAGTGAGAGAGTGAGAGAGAGAGAGAGAGAGAGAGAGAAAGAGAGAGAGAGAGAGACTCATATGGGCACATGTTATGCATGCGCTAAGATTAATTTTGTGCATTGTTATTAATTAAATGCCACAAATAAGAGCTATATATATATATATATTTCTATATATACACACATATATATATTTGTCAGCACGTGACTTATCGCTACAATTTGCGTTCACTTTTAGTCAATTGTGACAAGGCTTTAAATTGCGCCCACTTGAATTTTGGTTTTGGTTGCAAATGAAATCAAAATTTACTTTGACATCGACAATAAATTGCGCATTATTATTGCTGATTTAAGCCGATTTTATTGCAGTCTATGGCAATTGTTTAATTTTTCAATATATATTTATAGTATATGCAATATATATTGTGTTTGCAGCTCAATAAAACGTGGTGCATGCAGGTGTAATAATTGCATTTGCCATTCATTAATTTTGTGTGCGGCCAGCAGGGCATTTAAAAGAGACAACAATAACTTGTTGTTTATTCATGTATGCGTGTGAGCGTGTGTCTGTGTGTGCTACAAAAACGCATTGCATACTTTTAGGAGCGGCCTGTGAAAACAATTTTTCGGCACAAAACTGTAAAAATATGTGAAGGAGAAACAAAAATTGTTTTGCATTACTGCAAACAGTGCATGAAAACAGAGCATAAAAAAGTTAAATAAAACAATGTTAAAATGTAATTTAACTATGACTACAGCTAGACGATGTTTAAATAAACTAACGGAGCTGAGTGGGAAAGAGGTCAGAGGTAACTTAGCTGTATGTAGTTGTAAGGCAAGTCTATTATATACACGATGGCCGTTGAATAAGCCTTGTCTATGCCTCATAGAGTTCAAAGGCTAAGCTGTGCGTGCTTCGAGCCTTGACTTTGTAGCTGCTCTGGGCAACACGAAACTCCATACAAATACCTAATTTAGCACACCTGGCGCACATGTTAGCTTGATAAGATTTTTTTGACATTTGTGTTACATATTTGAAGTGAAATATTCTTGAGTAGGGTCAAGATTTGATTGAAAAACGCTTTGGACAGCTGATTATGTCAATCAATGGAATAGTAATATATGAGTAGTATTAGAAATAGTAGTATATAGTAGTATATAGTAATATATAGTAGTATATAGTAATATATAGTAGTATATAGTAGCATATATAGTAATATATAGTAGTATATAGTAATATATAGTAGCATATATAGTACAATATAGTATTAGATCGTGGTAAATTTGGTAGTATTTAGTAGTATATAGTAGAAAATAATAGTAGACCGCATTAAATTTATTAGTATGCTGTAGTGAATCGTAGTATATTTAGTAGTAGATTGTTGGTATACAAATTAGTAGATGGTAGATTATCTTAGAAGATTGTAAAGCAATAGGGTTTTATATATGCTATCATATGATATAGCATAACAGACCCAATAGCAAATGCTAAAGACCCCCGCTGTTAGTGTATGCAAAAGCAATTGAAAATAAATATATATATAATAAATTAAAAATAATTTCGAAATATTTACTGCAATTTGTTTTACTTTTTTTTCGGATGTTGGGATCCATTGAATTTTATGCCAAAGAGGGTAAAACTAATTAATTAATGTGCGAAATAATGAAGACAGTGATAAAGTGGATGTGATGAGAGTGTGAGTGTGAATGAGTATGGGTGTGAGTGTGAGCGTTAATACAAGATAAGTTAGTTGTGCGACTAAATGAAACGCTTGAAGAGCGTTGGCTCACTTTAAAGTGAATTGTGCAAAGGAATATATAATTAACGGGACTTTGTTTTGTATATCAGTAAGTATACACATAGAGTTATATATATATATAGACGAGCAAAAACACTTAGCTAAGGAATTATTGATTAAAAACTGGTTGTGTGTGTTTTATGGTTAATTGCTGTAGATGTTCATTGTATTTTTTGTTGTTTCTGTAGTTGTTGTAGTTACGTTAATTCATTTTTTTGTTTGTTTGATTTGATTTGTTGCTATTGTTCCGCCTGTCGCACTAAAACGGGATATTTACCAAGTTCTTTACCTGCGGTGCCCATATTCAGTATACTAATTTCGCCGAAATAGGAACCTGCCTTTAACGAGGCCATCACCGTCTTGCCATTGTCAGCGACGACCTGTAATCGTCCACGATTCACAATGTACATCTCCTTGCCCACCTCGCCTGCAAAGCACAGAGAAACAAAGACACAGACAGAGACAGAGAGAGAAAGAGAGAATGAAGGAGTTATTCAGTTGTAAATATAAATACATGTATATAATTATATATATGTGTGTGTATATAAGCTGGTCAGTTACCTTTGCGGCAAATGTAATCGCCCGGAGAGAAGAGTACGGGTCGCAGTCGCAGCACCAATTCGCAAAGGAAACCCGCTTCGGTATTTTGAAAAATCTCAACCCGCTTAAGTGTATCTAAATGGACGTTAATTGCTATTTCAGCCTGCAAAACAGAAACAGAAACAGAAACAGATATAGCAACAGTAACAGAAACAGTATTAAGAGCGAGAGGGAGGCAGAGGGAAGGAGAGGTTCGGCTCTGTTACACAGAGCATTAAAGGACAACAGAAGCAACAAAAGGAAAGGCAAGAAAATAAGAATGAAAGTAAAAGAAAAGCCCGGCAACATGCCACACCAAATGGACAATTCGTGTTGCCACAGCAGCTGCTGTGAAAGCGAACTAGCAGCAGCCTCCTGCTGGAGCAGGAGCTGCTCAGCAGGGGCAGGGGCAGGAGAGGGGAGGAAAAACTGTAACTGCGGCAGATTATTTACCTTTAATTTATCAGGAAGACAGGATACGGCGCGCTCCTCGTCTGAGCACTTTTGCGTGAGCCACAGGTAATCGAACCATTTGATGACCTTCACCTGCAGATGATTCGGAACACGCCGCATGCGCATGTACGTCTTAACTCCGTCCAGCTTGGCTGCAAATAGCAAAAGTACTCGATACATTTAGCACCTACTTTCTCCATAGCTATCTATATCTCGTTACATATACATACATACGTATGTATGTATGTATCTCATACAAAGTAGCTTATAATATATGCACGCTTGTTTGTGCTTTGGATTACACGCAAATCGAAACGGTTGCCGCATACGAATGTCGAATGACCAGCGGCATTTTGGGTGCGGATGCTGGGCAACGGCTACGCCCAATCGCACCACCAAAGCCAACGAACAGCCACCTCATCCACCACTAATCGCTATGGCTTCCGACCAAATCAGCGTTTTGTTCTGCATAAATTTCATTATGCGCCCACACTGAGTGAAAAAGTGAGCTTCAATTTGTTCTTAATATAGGAAATTTGAATGTGATATTTCTTTGAATTAGAGTTAGCCTAAAATATAATTTTTATCATTTAAAATTATATTTTTTTTATAAATTTACATACATATTTAACAGAATTTTCTTTTTCGCACATTTTTTAATAAGCTAAAAAATATTTATTTTCATTTAATACTCACACTTTTAGCATAAATTTTAATATATTCATAAATAAACATTTTCAAGAATTTTCTGTATAAAAAGGCGCCTACACTGAGAGAAAATGCTGCCTAAAATCTGTATCATAATATTTATTATAGTCTATATTTTTTAAACATTTTATGCAGCCTTTGTGATCACATTTTCTCTCAGTGTAAGTGCCCTATTGTGCTTTAGCTGATTAGCCAAAAGTTTCAACATGAAAAGAAATTCAATTGGCACCACCTGGCGTATGCGTAATATTAGTCTGTAATTAGTTATGGCTATTAGGAAATGTTTTCTGCTCTTGGGAATTTGTAAATGCTAGTGAATATTAGCGAAAACAAAAAAGAAACAGAAAACAAAAGAGAAGATTCGATAACAGTTGTTCACCACAAAAATTGTGCTAAATGCACAGTCGGAGCAACGTTTACAGAGTGAATTATCGAAACTTACGTACGTTTGCGACAGCTAAGTGCAGTTCCGGACTTCTTTGTTTTGCTCTCAGGCGCTGTGTGAATGGATATGCGTGTGTGTGTGTGTGTGTGTATGTATATATATTTGAGTGGATAACCAAGCGGTGCTCGATGAGAGGAAATTAAATCTCTACTTGGCTCAACGTCACAGGCAACAAATATTGACACAATTTGTCGATTGACAACTGCGGTTGGCTGTAGATATTGGTGGTGTTGTTGTTGTTGTTGTTGCAGCTGTTGTTGGTGGCACATTGACAGACAACGACTGAGAGCTTTCGTCATGGGTGGCTGGGAGCAGTACCGAGTTTTGTTTGCTCGTGTAAACATTAGCAAACCAACTGGCAAACAAGCAAACAGATTGAAAACAAATAAATAAAATTGCTTGTCGGCCCAGCAGGCACAAATGCCAAGCGAGACCCAACTCCCAGCCCAACTTCAACTAATTTTGCAGCTCATCTATAATGCAAGTGAAGGCCACTTGGCCCACATTCATTTATCATAGCATCATTTGTCCAGCTCAATACCTTGTCGCCCAATCAGTCAGCCGGAGTCCGTCCGTGTGAACAGCTTGAAACTTTCATTCCAGCAACAACAAACAATTCTGTGTGTGTGTGTGTGTGTCTGAAACTTTCGTTAGCAATATTATTGCAATCGGAAAATTACATTCAATTCGAAAATTGCTTGAATAACTTCACAGCATAGAAATCAAAGACATTCTATCAGCTATGAGTCAGTCAAGAAGACCATTAGCTAAATATAAACAGTTATATCTGATAGGCAACTCGCAAGCAAATAGCTGCCCATTAAAATTATTAAAATTTCTCCTATCGCTATTCAATTTGTTTTATCAGCCGATTCCAGCTAAGTCTTCTGGGATTCCAATAGCCAATAGATAAGCATTATTTMAAACTGATAAGCAGAACCGCAAGCAGTATATAAGCAGCAAATCCATCAACCGGTTAGTTAGTAACGAATTCTAAAGTCTTTGCAATATGTTGTGGCATCAACTAATTATTTTCGCCATTGTGGCTCTTGCGTTCACCCAGCTGCACGTGGCTAACAGCCAAACAACTGGCGTCAACACCTGTCCAAAGAATTTCACCCTGGTGGGCGAGAGGTGTCTGCTTGCCGTGGGCAACGTGTTCAACTGGTACGAGGCCGATCGTAATTGCCGCACCAAGAGCGCCGGAGTGCTTAGCCTGATCAGTGATAAGGAATTGCAGTTGGTCACTGATTGGCTAAATAAAACCATGCAGTTCACCCTGGAGCTGTGGACCTCGGGCTCCAAGCTGGGCAGCTCGAGCGTCTACTACTGGCAGAGCACGGGTGAGCCGGCGCGTTATCTACCCTGGGCCACAGGCCAGCCCAAGCCAACTAGCGGCGACTGCCTGATGCTCAGTGGCACTAGAAATCCCACGTCTGTTAGCAACTATCGCCTGGTGGTTCGCAATTGCGCCGAGTGGGCTGTTTCGGTGTGCGAAGTGGTGCCAGCCAAAAATACGACTACACGCATCTGCCTCAAGCCGAATGCCTACGAAACGGTGCAAGTGATTGGAAATTAAATATATTTTATATATAAATAGAAGACTATAAAAATTTGTGGTGAAGGAAGTCTCATATATATGGTTGAAAAGAGAACTCGAAATTGTTAGGAAATGAAGGAACAGAAATAAAATTGCATAAAAAAAACAACAATTTTTTGTTTTCTATTCATGATCTATACTACATTGAATCGTATATTCATATACGTAGCTGGAATGCTCGACTTAAATAAACATTTATCTTTTAGAATACATGACCTTTGCCCAAATGACAATATATATTTTTAAAGAAAGAGAGACAGAGAAATATAGAGGGAGAGAGAGAGGGAGAATCTATCGTCTATTCCCTAAGTTCCCAGTCGAATGTATTTCATATTTTTACGACACTATGAAATATGAAATGTCTATAAATTTTATTTTGTTTACTTATTGTTATCATTGGAATAAATACTTCTAAGCCGGCAATTCTTAATTGGTATGCGTTATCAATTCTATTCGTATTCTTATCGCTATTGTCATCTTTATCAGACCCCTCTGCATGCTATAAAAGGTCTATCCCGTCGTCTGTTTATTGAGTAATGGAAAACATGTTGTGGCCGAAGCTGTTGGCCTTTGCTTTAGTCAGCCTGTCGCTGGCTCAGCTGCACTCGGCCAGGCTCGATGATGCTGCTGCTGGTGAGTGCAGCGAGAACTTTACTCGACCTGGAGACAAGTGGAGCCATTACTTTCAAGCGGATCGCTACTGTCGCTCCAGGGTAGCTGGCGTGATAAGTCTTCGACACGAGACGCATTTGGAATTTTGGACCTCGAACATTAACAACCAAAGTCTACTATGACTGTCAACTAGGTTAGATGGCTAAAGAAATTTTAGATTAAAGCTCTCTTTAAAGATGGCTTATCATCTGTTATATGTATATCAATATATAGTCAGCAAGCTATAGAGAACAATTTCATCAGCTCTGAAGTTGGTCTAGGGTATGTGCAGGGTATCATTCGAATGCTGTCAGCTATGAGTCATGCCAGAAAACTATTAGCCCAAGTCAAGTCTGATAGGAAACCCTCAAAACAAAAAGCTGCCCATTGTAATTATTAAACTTCCTCCTATCACCAACTCTTCAATTTGTGTTATCAGCTGATTCCTGCTAAGTCTTCTGGGATTCCAATCGCCAATAGATAACCAATTATTTGTAACGAAGTTTTATGAATGAGACACGGGTCAATCAAAAGTGAAACCCGCTTATCATATCGCCAAAAGCAAATGATAAGCAGAACCGCAAGCAGTATATAAGCAGCAAATCCATCAACCGGTTAGTTAGTAACGAATTCTAAAGTCTTTGCAATATGTTGTGGCATCAACTAATTATTTTCGCCATTGTGGCYCTTGCGTGCACCCAGCTGCACGTGGCTAACAGCCAAACAGCTGGCGTCAACACCTGTCCAATGAATTTCACCCTGGTGGGCGAGAAGTGCTTACTAAATGTGAGTGGGTGGAATAACTGGTACGAGGCCGATCGCAATTGCCGCACCAAAGGCGCCGGAGTGCTTAGCCTGAGCAGTGATAAGGAATTGCAGTTGGTCACTGATTGGCTAAATAAAACCATGCAGTTCACCTTAGAGCTGTGGACTTCGGGCTCCAAGCTGGGCAGCTCGGGCGTCTACTACTGGCAGAGCACGGGTGAGCCGGCGCGCTATCTACCCTGGGCCACAGGCCAGCCCAAGCCAACTAGCGGCGACTGCCTGATGCTCAGTGGCACCTATTCCACCACATCTGTTAGCAACTATCGCCTGGTGGTTCGCAGTTGCGCCGAATGGGCTGTTTCGGTATGCGAAGTGGCTCCAGCCAAAAATACGACTACACGCATCTGCCTCAAGCCGAATGCCTACGAAACGGTGCAAGTGATTGGAAATTAAATATAGAAATATAGGACTATAACAAATTGAGGTGAAGGAAGTCTCATATATGGATCTTGAAATTGTTATAAAGATATAGATTTCGAAATATTGTTGAACAGAAATAAAGAGGCTTTAATTAAAAACTCGTTGTTAACTAATGCCACGATCTATGCTAAGCTGAATCGTATAAACTGTAAAATGGTAGACACAATGATAAGATTTAGATTCCAATATAATAATTTTGCAATACATCTCATTAGATTCTCAATAAAAGTATTCCAAGAGAACATGTATGTAGGAATTGCATTTGGGCCTATGCCATCGACACTGTTTAAGCTTGGTCTCTTTAAGTCTTAGTTCAATCTTATAATTTATCTCTCTTGCTCAGTTTCTCCCTTGCTCTCTCCCCAATTACTCTATCTTTATGCTCAGTCTTTATTTACAGCTTTCTCAATGCTTTATAGCTCACATTGCTCGCATTGACGACATTGCATACTGTTGGGCTTATCCGTTTGCTGTTTGAAATACTTTGCATGCTTCGCCATGAA